CTTTACAATGTTCAGGACTTTTTTCAGTCATTATTTCTTAATAGTTTCTCAATTCTTTATTGTCTCTTTTCTCCTTCTACAGATGTTACACTTGATGATGTCCCAGAGGTCCCTTAAACTATCCTCATGTTTTTGGATTTTTTTCTCTTTTTGCTGCTCTGACTGGTTGCTTTCTGCTATCTTGCCTTCCAAGTTGCAGATTTGATCATCTGTTTCTTCTAATCTACAGTTGATTCCTTCTACTGAATTCTTCATTTCAGTTATGGTATTCTTCATTTATGAATGGTTTTTAAACAACTGTTCTATGTCCTTTTTCATGCTGTTGAAGTTCTCACTAGGTTCCTTGAGCAATCTTATAACCATTGCTTTGAACTTGGTATTTGGTAATTTCTTTGACTCCATTTATTTTGTTCTTATTCTGGAAGATGTCTCCTGTTCTTTCATTTTGTACATGTTTCTTTGTTTCCTCATTCTGACTGCCTCCCTGTGTTTGTTTCTAGGTACTAGATAGGTATGCTATGTCTCCCAGTCTTGGTAGAGTAGCTGTCATCCTATAGGGCCCAGCAGTACAACCTCACTGGTCACCCAAGCTGGGCACTCTGGGTGCACCCCCCCATACACATGTAGGCTGTGTGCACTCTTCTGTTGTAGTTGGACCTTGATAACTTTTGGCATGTCAATGGGAGGGATTAACCCCCAGGCCAATTGTTATTATTACCTTTTTATCTGGAGGCTAAGGCTATTTCACTTTTCTGTAAAAGGAAAATTGGATCGCAAGTGTTTAAGTTTTTCATGAATTCTTCAGAACTCATGATTTTTTTTTCTTTCACTGTTTCTTTATTTTCTGGAGAAACAAAAGGAAGAGGACATGAGGTTTTTATTTGAAATACTAAGGCCAAATACTTCTAAAATAAAAATGAACTCATTAAATTTATGTTCATTGTTTCAATGTTTCATTAAACATGTTCGATGTTATGTTCAATGTTTCATTAAACATTGTTTCAGTTCTCCACAAACCACATTTGTATACTGTACAAATTTCAGGAAGGTTGGAAACCCACTTATATATTTTTTGTGTTTATTGATTTTAGAGAACAAGAGAGAGGGAGGGGGGAGAGAGAGAGAGAGAGAGAGAGAGAGAGAGAGAAACACTGACTTGCTGTTCCACTTATTTATGCATTCATTGGTTGTTTCTTATATGTGACCTGACTGGAGGTGGAGCCTATGACCTTTACATATCAGGATGTCACTCTACAAACTGACATACCTGCCCAAGGCCCCATTCATTTTTCAACTAGCAAAAGAGAAAGCCTTTTCTGAAACATTTTATCAACTCCTATAGTTTAACCTTATATATCACACGAATCTCTAATTTAGTGGTGAAAACAGAAATGTCCATACTCTTTCCTCTATATTAAGACAGGTTATTTTCCTAAGTGTTGAGAAGCTGGCCTTTAAGGATATTTCCGACCAGATCATTCTTGGAAAGGATCCTAGGCTCAAAACACAGCCACACCTGTCAATCAGCCACAACCATCAGCTTTCAAATGCAGTTGCTCAGAAGCCAATGGCAAAAACTATTTATAGAGTAAAGCCCAGATGAAATACAAGTATACATTTTCTTTTCCTAACACCTTACATTCCTTCACATTTATCCCACACAAGTTCTATACACATATTCAATCATATTGAAGTGGGATAAACTATATTTGAGGTTTGAGGTAAATAAATCCATCGACACAGAAAAAATTACCTAGCATTGGGACAAAAAGTTTTCTAGGAAAGAAAAATAATTCAATTTCTTCTTTGAGAAAATACTCTGGAAACGATTCCCCCCCTTTTTTTTTTTAGCATATTAACTACTTATCGTTCCATATTATTATTTTTCTTGAATATTATTGAAATGATTATCAGTTGATAATGTAATTATTCTGGAGCCTTTGTGTATGGGTTTTAAGGAGGAATGAGAGGGGATTTTCTGTGATGACAGTGTATATTCCATGATACCCACTTTTGTTATTTGATGACTGTAAAGCTTGCCAACTGATGACCAAGCACTGATATAGAGTGCTGATTAAATACACTGGTTGGACAGGGTATCTCTAGCTGATTACCATGTCCAAAAACAGGTGGCAGTTAAACCCAATGTGGCTATGGCTGTCGAACTGATTAGGTTGAATTTATTAATATGGAGTCATGTTTAGAACCATGTAGCAGAAAGCCACTTAATCAAAACTCAGGGGCCTGTATTAACCAAACGGACTATACATACCTCTTTCAGAAACATGCCTATAGACAGTTTCTGGTAGTCTTTTAAGGAAATTTTCATAAATGAGGGTAATAGGTTTCCTCCCACTTACACACATTAAATAACCAATTTCCTTAAATGAATTTGCAAAGATGAAACAAGAGTTGCTCCAGAGACACAGTAAAGACACAAAGATATAGAACTTTCTAGCAATATACAAGTATGCAATGCTGCAAATAAACTAAGCTAAGAAATCCATTTCTTTTATAATGACACTCCAGTTTGAGGCCATGAACACAGGTTTTGGTTACTCATGAAAAAAAAAAAGGCAAAGGCACAAAAAGTAGTCCTACAACCATTAGACACAAGCATAGTCAACTTGTTGAATGTGGAAGATTCTACAAAACTTACCTGCCAGGGAACGGGGACTCCTGTATCTCCAGGTGAAGGAAGTATCTATCCCTAGTTCAGGCTCCTTAGAGTAATCAGGTCTCTTATGGGAGCTGCACCTGATCTGCACCTGTGACCTTATGCCACAAGCTGTGGTCACATGCAGACCAGAAAGACCTGCAGGTGAAACCTCCCAATGGCATGGACGACAATGCCTGGAGCACAAGGAAGGCCACCATCCATATAAAATTCACACCTCAACAGAGGTGCTGTTGAGGACTAGGCCGAAGCAATGGTAAAAGCAGTAACCCTGAGAAAGGTCCTTCCATACCTCAAGTCCAGATAGATTTAGGATAGCCAAAAGTGTGCCAAGTGGATTACTGGTGTGATTCACACATGAATGTGAATAGTTACAATTTTCACCAAATTGTTGAAAATACAACTCAACTGGGGGCAACTTAGCCTTAATATGCTATAAGCATCTGGCTCAAACTTAACAAAATACTACCAAATTTAGTTTGAACATCAGAAAATCTAAGATGGGGCAACCTAGAAATTTTTTATTTTATTTTTTAATTTATTGAGGTAACATTGGTTAGTAACATATAAATTTCAGGTGTACAGTCTCATAATATGATATCTGTATACTCTATCATGTATCCACCACTTGAAGCCCAATCTTCACCATATATTTGACCCCCTTTACCCTTTTGTCCTTCCCCCATGACACTTCTCTTCTGATAACCACCATTCTACTGTATCCAGGTTTTAAAAAGAAATGTTTATTTGCTCATTTGTGGCTTTTTAAATATCCCACATATAAATGTATCCATATGGTTCTCGTATTTTTTTGTCTGATTTATTTCACTTAACATAATACTCTCAAGGTATTCTGTGTTCATGGATTGAAAGAATTAACATCGTTAAAATGGCCATATTACCTAAAGCAATATACACATTTAATGCAATACCCATCAAAATCTCAATTTTTCACCTAACTAGAACAAGTAATTCTAAAATTTATGTGGAACCACAGAAGACTCCAAATAGCCAAAGCAACCCTGAGAAAAAAAATACAAAGCTGGAGGTATTACACACCCTGACTTGAAACTATACTACAAAACTATAATAAGCAGAGCTGTATGGCATTAGCAGAAAGACACACAGACCAATGGGATAGAATTGAGAGCCCAGAAATAAACCTGTATTTATGTGGGCAACTAATTTTTGACAAAGGAGCCAAATGCATGCAATGGAGAAAGGAAAGTGCCTTTAATAAATGGTTTTGGGAAAATTGGAAGGCCACATGTAAAAGAATGCAACTATACTGCTGACACCATATACAAAAATTAACTCAAAATGCATTACTTAAATACAAGACCTGAAACAACACAGGGACACACACAGAGGCACTAAATTTATGGATCTTGGTCTCAGTAGGGTTTTTGTGAACTTGACCCCAAATGCCTTGTTGATCCTGATAAAGATTTTGACAAGAACAATGGAAGGGCCTGTGGGAGAAACTAGCGTTTATGGGAGAAGTGCTCAAACTCAGTCATCAAAAGAACCCTACTGGCAGAACTCTGATTAAAACAAAGCTCTGTGGTTGTAAATGCCCCTCTCCTTAAATTCCTTTCCCCCCTCTACTAAAATACCTCCCCATCTTGGTAGCAGTGCGGTGTGTGCACGAGGCTTACCGAGTCTGTATGCACTGAGTTGCAACCCTTTCTTTCTCCGCCCACCCCCTAATCCTTTTTGATGACAAAACACTTAGTGGATACTGTCTACACTATGCCCAGGTCGGTGTTAGGGCACCACGTTTGGCATCAGTGAACAGAGGTCTGTTAAGTTTAGAAAGACCACACTCCATTCAACTTCTGCCTCTCCTTATTAAAAGATGATTAATAATTTTATTTGTCACTGGACTTTGAAATAGCAACATGACCACATGGGAGACCCTCTATTTACACTGTCCCTAGACAGTGTCCCAAAATGGAGAACAGCTTTAACTCGTCCGAGGGAGAAGACTGAGCCACTAGTGAGTCCTAGAAATAAGTAGATTTGGAAAGCAGAACACGCAGAACAAGCCTCAGAGACCCAGAGACCGCAGTCCAGCAACCCACTTCCTGGACAATTACAGTAGCAGCCCCCGGAGAGTCGCTGGGGATTAGCCGGCGGCGGGCCTGGGTCACGTGGCCTACGTCGGGTCAGAACCCCGAGTGCACGAGAGCGCGCAGAGCAGCTTGCCCCTCGGCTGCGCTCACTGCGTGCGCGCTCAGGCCGTAGGCGGGGCGTGTGGGCCGAACCTCTGGGGAGCTTGGGGGCGGGGTCGGAGTGGGATGGAGGACGGGGGTGGGGCCTCCTCGTCTGCCTAGTCCGCCCGCTAGGCTAGGCTGGTGGCGGGAGGTTGGTGAACCGTGGAGGGTTGTCTCTGCCATGACTGCGGAGCTCCAGCAGGACGACGCGGCCGGAGCAGCAGATCGCCACGACTCGGTGGGCCCTGTGGAGGCAACGGGGCGGGCTTCGGCTCCAGCGTGAGGAGGGGGTGCGAGGCTGTAGCGAGAGTGGCGCGGGTCGCGGGCGGGCTGGCCCTGCCGGGGCTGGGCTCTGGGGGGTGGGGCTGCAGAGGGCGCCCGGGCGGTGTGTCCGCGAGGTTGAAGAAGGGGGTTCGGGAGGAGGTCGAAGTCTTTGCAAGGCTTGGGTTGCGGGGGTTGATTTCGGGTCGCCGAAGTTAGAGGTGATTAGATGTTTTGGAAAAAAGAAATAAAGGGCTGGTCGTGGGGTGTTCTGCATCAGAGATCCCTAAGGAGAGCGCTTCTCGGCCGCGATTAGGTTTGAGAAACTTCCAAAGGGTTGACTTGGGTGATTTTTGTTTTTAAATCCGTTTCATGGCAGTGTTGCTTTAAAGAGCCTCACGCAGAGAGAAGTTATCTAACTTAAAGTGAGGATTTATCAACACCTTGTGAAAGACCAGGGGCCCTAGCTACTACTTCCTATCTTCCCCTACCTCCCACCGCCGCTTTTTTATTTGTAAACGGAGAGCAGCCGCCCCATAGTGATTGTTATAGTAGCATTCATCACTTTAGGTTTTTTAAGAAGGGAGAAGGAACAGCTTGATGAATAGAAGGTTGCGGATAATGTTTTCCTATTATGTTAATTGATTGCAATCAGTATGAGGGTTTCAGAGCTAAGATGGTGAGAGTAAAAACAACTGGTTTGGGAGAAAATCTAAAGGCTAACGTTTGTGTGGAGAACCTTGGGAAGTGGGCAATTGGCGCATATCTTCTAATGTTACTTTGGAATGTTATAACCTCACACTACCTCATCACCCCTCAAACACTGCACTTTCTCAATACGAAATGGGAAACTTGTGCCAGGTATTCAAATTCGAGTTTGGAAGTGAGGAATGCCATAAAATATTTACAATACAAAGCTGTCGCATAGAAAACCTTTATACTTTTTTACTGTTTTCATGCACTCAGGAGGCCAATAGTATATAAAGTGAGCACACTTCCTTTTAAAACTCCTGTAGTATAATACCCTCCAGGTCAGGGGCTTGGAAAAGAAAGTATGTTCTAATTCCTAAGGGAAATTGCATTGTTAGGTGTTCACTAATACCTACTAGAATCAGGATTTTCTCTGGTTTCAGAGATCAGTGCTAATAGTTTTTAGGACAGTAACGAAAAACAGGTGGGAAAAGTCTTAGTTCTGAGACAGTTATGTTGATTAGAGTAGGGACCATTTTAAGGAAGAGCAAGTCATTTAAATTTGTCAGGACTGTCAGTTAAAACCATGTGCCCGTTAATCAGCTGCATCTTCATTTCCCTTTGCTACATTTGGGTAGTGACCCCTATCTCATCACTATCTATTTGAGTCTTTTGTATGTGAGGTGTTTGATGAACACTGTATATAAGTCATAGCTATTTTTGGAAAGCTTGGAAGACTAGTGGCAGTGGTTGGCTGGAGTAACTGATTCCTGGCTTCCTGCAGAGTGATGACATTAACTGTTCTTTCCAGTGATTCACTCCACAGAGACAGATGATAAGCTTGGTATGTTCGATAATGTTTGCCTTTTAATTTCTGCTAATGTAAAATGCTTGAAGTTGACAGGTCAGAGTGAAGGAGTCTTGTATGCAGAAAGTAACTCACATCTCAGAAGAGAAATTTTTATCAACTTCTCCCTCATTTGATAACTTTCGTGTTAGAATGGACTCTGTTTTGAATTCTCTGTAGCATTCTACATTTCTCTTAGAGGATCTTCAGTTGGTCTTGTTGAGGAGACCTCTCCTCCCTAGACATCAAGAAGCTATTTAAAACCTAGAATGTTCTCCTCCCTTATTGGTCAGTTGTACATGGGACATACAGAACCCTCTATAGTCTCCCAAGGTTTTTAGTGAGGGAGAAATATACTACTTTTGAAATAGGTTTCAGTATCTATTGGAACCTAAAGGAGGAGGATACTTTATGGTAATACTAAATCCCCCGGACTGCAGAATGATAATTGAGTATCTAAAGAAATTACAGAGAGGTCCTATATTTTAGTCAGTTCTTCACTTTGATAAAAAACCAGTAGTAACATTACTGTTGCTGTAGGATAAACAACTTGAAGTCAGGTTAGTTCTTAGAAACCTGTTGTCCTTGGCAGTGGTACCAGGGTTCATCACACATTCTTTCTGCTCACTGAAACCCTATGAAAACCTGCCAGCCTCAGTGAAAATTTAATGTCCTTTTTGTTTTCCCTCGATTTATTGGCTTTTCATTCTCATTTACCTTGTCTCATGAATTGTGATTTTTGGAGCATTAGCAAGTGAGTGCTTGGTTGCCTTCTATAACTCTCCTGCCTCCTCAGCTACACAGTACAATATTTATAAAATGTGTGGACAAAAAAATACCTCATGAGGCAAGGTCTTGCCATGTGTTTTGTTTCATCAAAGAAATTTAAAGCAATAGCCAAGTGAAGCAGATATATTTCAAGGAAAATAATGATGTTGATAATATAAGTAGTTAACATTGAGCACGTACTGTGTACCAGACTCTATGTTCAGAACTTAACATATATGAGTATTATCTCAGCACTTATGACTACTCTATAAAGTTTTCTTATGAGAAGGCTTATACTTGTTAAATAATTTGCTTAAGGTCACCCAGCTAGTAATTGGTACAACCAGAATTGAACCCAGGCAATTCCGACTCCAAGAACCAAAGATGTCCCTGATCCTACTTCTTAGTCAGTAGACCCATCCATTGTTGTGGGTTAGAATCTTTCCATTACTCTCCAGCACTCTCCTGTTATTTTAAACTTCCAGTTCTCCTTGCTCTCTTTCTAAAGAGATAATCTGTTTCTCTACCTAATTTAGCTTGCTGACATCTAAAGAGAGTTCTTTGTCTCATGTTTGTTTTGCCCCCTCTTCAGCATCTTTTCTCAGTGGAAGAGGTACCCATCATGTCTGCCTTCATTTCTTAGAGATGAATCTAGATCACTGGTGTTTGGACACCTTTTTGATTGTGACTGTTGCAGGGGGATGCTCCTGGTATCTGTGGGTGAAAGCCAGGGGTGCCACTAAACATCTTGTAGTGTATGGGACAGCCCCTAAAACAGAGAGTTGTCTGGCTTAATGTATCAGTAATGCTGAGCCTGAGAAACCCTGACCTAGGTGTCTTTCCTTATTCTCCTAAAATATCATACGTCTCTTTTGTCCTAGCCTAATGCCTAGACACATTTACTGTTGTCTTCTCCCATGAGACTCAGAATGTGGTTCATGGACGAGCAGCATCTGCATCACCTGGGAGTTTGTTAGAAATGTAGAAACTTGGGTGTGCTGGAGCCAGCTTTTACCACCTCTCCAGCTGATTGCGTATCTGTCTTCCCAGCTCTGTTTAGTGAACTCGTGTTGGTAGCTTGAACTTGCCATAGGAAATAAGCAAGCTCTACAAATCATCCCACTGCTGTTTGGGCTGCTGCCCTAGACCTATAGAATCACTATCTGCCTTTTGACAAGATCCCTGGTGATAAAATTTGAGAAGTTCTGTCCTACTCCACAGAATTCCCACTTTCCATTAAGCTATGAACACAAAATCCTCTTTTGCCCTATTCAGCTGTTGCCTTGTCCACCTCCTTTCTTTAATTGTTTACTTTTTGAACAGCTTCTAAATCTCCTTGTTTCTTTTTTAGAGTGTTTTTCCAATTACAGTGTAATTCCAGTTCACTGTAGAAAACTTGGAAAACAAAGATGCAACAAGATTAGATCTTGGCTGACAGGAGGCACAGCTCCTAGGCTGAGGTTCCCAGATTCCACGACAGTTTAAAGGTGGCAGCAACAGGTTCTGCAAATGCTCCAGGCAAGAAGAGAGCTGATTGCTCAGAGAGACCAGGCAGCAGAAAGCTAGATTGTAGGGTAATGAGTAGTTTTATGTGATCAGCATCACCAGGTTGCCCAGGAAGAGCCTTGCCAATAGAAGGCTTTTAGTATTTGTCACTGGCAAATGAAACCAGATCTTTTGGAAGTGACCGGCAACTGACCACTTCTGATCAAATCAGTAGTAATTATTTACTTATTTATTTTAATATATTTTATTGATTATGCTATTACAGTTGTCCCATTCCCTTCACTGCTCTGCACATCCCCTCCACCCACACCCCCCTTTTTGGCTTCTATAGTTCCTATATTATTCTTAACCTCCCCCTGTCTATTTTCTACATACCATTTTTACTACTTATTCTCTGCACCTTTTCCCCCTCTCTCCTCTTCCCACTTTCCTGCTGATAACCCTCCATGTGATTTCCATTTCTGTGATTCTGTTCCTGTTCTAGTTGTTTGCTTAGTTTTTGTTTTTGTTTTAGGTGTGGTTGTTAATAACTGAGTTTGTTGTCATTTTACTGTTCATATTTTTTATCTTCTTTTTCTTAGGTAAGTCCCTTTAACATTTCATATGATGAGGGCTTGGTGATGATGAACTCCTTTAACTCTATCTTATCTGGGAAGCACTTTGTCTGCCCTCTATTCTAAATGGTAGCTTTGCTGGATAGAGTCATCTTGGATGTAGGTCCTTGGCTTTCATGACTTGGAATACTTCTTTCCAACCCCTTCTTGCCTGCAAGGTTTATTTTGAGAAATCAGCTGCTAGACCTATGGACACTCCTTTGTAGGTAACTGTTTCCTTTTCTCTTCCTGCTTTTAAGATTCTCTCCTTATCTTTAATCTTGGCTAATGTAATTATGATGTGCCTTGGTGTGTTCCTCCTTGTGTACAACTCCTTTGGGACTCTCTTGAGCTTCCTGGACTTCCTGGAAGTCTATATCCTTCCCCAGATTGGGGAAGTTCTCCTTCATTGTTTGTTCAAATAAATTTTCAATTTCTTGCTCTTCCTCTTCCCTTGTGGCACCCCTATGATTTGGATGTTGGAATGTTTAATGTTATCCCGGAGATTCTTAAGCCTTTCCTCATTTTTTGAATTCTTGTTTCTTCATTCTGTTCTGGTTGAATGTTTCTTTC